CAAATATCCAGTGGATTCATATAGGGTGGTTAGAATAACCAACAGACAACAATCGTGACCAATGGGTCTGGTGGGGTTATCAGATTAGCAACGTTGATGTACGCCAAATGTTTTTCGAAAATTCCACTCCCTCGGTAGATCAGCTAATCACACTCCACAGTTTATCCCGGTTGGACCGGTAATTCATATGTCAGTACACTGCTTGCCTGATAGGGCCATTTTCGTCTAGCCTTGTGTCGGATGGAGACGACTCGGAGGCATTCAGTCCATGACTTGGCAACGCAACATGAAAGTCCAGTCAACTCGCTTCCGTTGGTAACTGTCGTTTCCCCAGATGGAGACTGCGGGACGAGACAAACCGATGGTTAGTGACCCTGACACGTGGTTGTCACACAGCCAACGCGCTGTTGCATCAAAGCTGTCGCCTTCGCTCTGTGGCTTTCACTTCCTGCCACATTGGACGAGCGAATCTATCTGTCGTCAATGCACAGATGGCCATTGCCTTTAACGCGTGGCTCTTGTTCTGCTTGCTCTCGGTGAACGGATCTGCAGCAGCAGGAATCACTGTACTTTTGCATGNTGAACTGAACAACTCAAGTGAACTAGTTTACGGAACATCAACCGCACTCAATCTACACAAATGTTGCAATCCATTGCATTCAGCATTTCCGAGTGTAGGATGTCACCCAGTGAAGTAATTAGAGGCATTCCTTAAGCGAAGACATCTTATCCCTGTTGCCACTCTCAGTGTCGGTACTCTGTCGGTGAGGTATGCATGTTGTGCCCTTGAGGAAGATGCGCTTCGTCCCAGAGTTAAAAGCGTTTCATTGAATTTTATTCCAATAAACGTTCGTCTTTGCGCTGTCTTGCTTGATTGAAGCGAAACGTTTTTGTTGTGTCGAAATACTCCCGACAGACTGCAGTTATGAAGTCAAGGAGGGCTCCCATTGGAATACGTCGATGCTACTTTGGTCACCACGAAGGGCTGATATCATTACCTTGGTGGTGATAAACCGACTGGGGCATGAGTAGGTAGGTTTGAACTCGCTGCGGATTTCAGGAAGTGAACTCTTCATTTGCATACCGAACCCCTAATCGCAGCAAGGGCACAATTTCGATGCAATCTCGCACCGTTTTACTTGCAGGCCGTCAACCGGAGACTTGCTATCGAAGCATCTACTGATGGGGTTTGAAAATTGTTTAAAGTTTGGGCGGAACACCGAAGTTTAATCCAGTTAGACACTACGTCCTTGATGTTACTTGCTTGCTGTCTGTAGCATCATCATCCTTATCATCATCAAAGACAGCAAC